CCAAACTTTATATTTTAGCTGGAAAAGTTGGGGGTCGTCTTATATGCCAATCGTCTTATATGCTGGAAAATGCGGTAGATGTTTCTACTTGTGAGTGATTTTGCTGAGCCAAAGGGGTGCCACAAACAATAGGTTTGCAGCAGATCTGAAAAGGCAGAGGCAGATCTGCCATAGAAGAATTTAGATGGTATTCATACCTCCTTTCTAAGTAAAGTGGTGCCTCCCTCCCACCTTTCTAGACTTGATTCAAAGTTGCACTGAAAGGTGAGGACTGTGTATTGTACTATGCATTGGCATGGCACAGTTTCCTACTTTGCACTTGGTATGTTGCCTTTTGGGTACAGTTTCTAAAAATGTTGGCCTTTATTTAATTTTCTCTATCCAGTATGTGCTTGTCTTTGCACCCTTGTATGGCTTGTGTGACCCTTTCTCAAGATATGGCTAGCAAATCTTCTCTCCCCTCTTGCAGATGGCTCTTTGGTACTGCTTTCTCTCACTTCCCATACTGGCTGGGTGACTTCAGTCAAGTGGTCACCAACACATGAACAACAGCTCATCTCAGGTTCTTTAGACAACGTTGTCAAACTCTGGGATACAAGGAGGTAAACCTAAATCTTGGTTTTCTGGTTTTTGTTTGGATATGGCTTCAAATTATTAGATGACACAAACTGAAATAATGACACTTCAGGTTTTCAGAATACATAGGATAATTGTCTGCACTAACCAGCATATGTACCCCATTTTCATGATACTCCCATCTGAATATTGGGTTTGTCTCTGCCAATGGTCTTAGCAAATGTGCCTCTAGTTCCATTTTATGTGGTATTCCGTACCATCAGTCCTTTAAGCTATACAATTGCCATTTATAGTTAAAATGCAGAATGAGTGTTCATCTATTTGTAGATTACTGAAACACCTATGTAACTAAACAGTGTGGATAATTTTAGAGTGAGGCTATATGTCTCTGTAGACGTAGAATTTAAATTTAAAAAATACTACAGTGGAAAGGGAATTGGAGGAGCAACTTAGTATAAAGCAGCATGGACAAATAGGGTTCACTGTTTGACCCCATGATTTGTCTTTGGGCCCCATGAGCATGTTCCAATGCACTGGAAGTGACTTTCAGTCACTGTTTTATCAACTGTAGCAAAGTAATTTTGAAGGGGTAGAACACAGAGTAGAAACGGGAAATTGTATTTTGTAAGTGGTTTTCTTTCATTTGAGGGTATTTTTTAGACAAACAAAAGCACAAAAGGTTCAATTTTTAAGAGGGGTTTAGGGGCCTTTAGGGACTGCATAAGTGGGGTCCAGACACTCCACTTTATCCACTCCTATTCTCCAAATAATTTGATGGGTGTATCAAGAGGTTTTGTTATTAGGATAATGTTACTTTTGTGCAGTATGAGTAGAATGACTCTCAAATTTCTGTGTATCATCAGTTGCAAGGCTCCTCTCTATGATCTGGCGGCTCATGAAGACAAAGTTTTGTGTGTGGAATGGACAGAAGCAGGGGTAAGAGCGTCCGCTTTTGGAATAGTTGGAGTGCATGAAAATGGAGGGCAAATAGGTGGAGAAGGTAAAAATGGGAGAACATACCCCACAGCCTTTTCCCCTACGGATGGGGTTAAAACAGCAGCAGCAAAACAAAAGCACCCCCCATGAAACACATGGGCAAAATTTATGTCCAAGAAGTACATACCACACAGGCCAGGGGTAGGCAACCTTTTTGAGCCGGGGGCCGGGTTGCTATCC